ATTGAAAGGTTAAAAGGTTTAAATAGCGTGTACAGTACCTCGCGCTCGGCTAACGAGTCAGTTCCCGAAGTACGTATTTGCTTTTCGCGATCGTAGGTCGATTACCATCCCTCGTTTTTACGTAATCGTGCCATGGCCGTTAAGCCCACGCGATCATTTTTGCATTCCATTGTCGTCTCACCGCGATTCTAACACGCTGCAATTCATTCGGGAATGTCAATCGATGAATTATGTATATGTGCGGCACCGATTTGCCATGAACATCTCGCAGTTCTTAGCGGAATATATTGCTTTTTGCAAATAGTGAGAACAAATCTGCAAAGGCATTTTGCGAAATAGAACTTTCTGAGATTATAGCTGTAATGTATGTACATATATTATTATAATGTATATTCCGTATATACATATTTTACGAGTATTATATTCTCTATTATTCTATTTATCTTTGATAAATTTTTAATTTCTTTATCAAGTTGTCATGGATCGTGAACCAAATTGTACGTAATGTCATATAATAAATTATGTTACATATATTACATGTATTACAAAAATAAAACATAAATAAATACATACACACTCATATATTTACGATTACGTTAAAAATGATAAAAGTTCCTGTTTAAACATATATGGAAAGTTATTTATTTCGAAAGATGTGGTAGAAAAAATTACGTGTCATATTTTCCTTCTGACTGATTTCCATAATGTTTCTAACTGTAAATTGCAAGGAGCATTGCGCGACGGCGAGTACTAAGGGCTTGCTAACAAGAGACCATATCATGAACTGAATTGCTACGAGTGTCCATAAACGATAAATCGCGATGATCACCGCAGATCGTAGTCACCTTCGTGCATCGCGTGTTAGTGCGCGCGTAGAGGATTCGGGTCAGTGCATTCGTGGAAACACCTGAATTTTCCAGTACCGTTAATTACGTTAGTTAGCACACCTATGGCTAGCATTTCTGGGGTAACACACGGTAAATATTTTTATCAGGAAACGGATATTATCAAGCGTAAACGCAATCTTTACTCTCATTTACATATTACGCAATGACGTAATTAAAGCTTTTAATAAAAACATTTTTTTTCAGAGAGAAATTTATTCTGATGTATCTTTTTCTGTCGGGCTGCCTTGATTATCTGCACTTCTATTTTTTTCTCAGTACATTTTGACAGCCTCCATTCTTTCGTTGCATATTTCATAACACGAAAAGCGTAAATCTATTATAATACATTATTTTTCATGAATTTGATAAAATTATAGAGAAATTTATTTTTATGCGAAATTTTTGTAAGCTAGATAGTACACGCGAATAGAAATGAATCAAATTAAGATTAAATTAATTAAATAATTCTGGTCCAATGCATGAGGACTTGTGCGATATGAATTTGATAAAGTTATAGAGAAATCTGTTTTTATGTAAAATTTTTGTAATTGGATGGCACACGCGAATGCAAACGAATTCAATTGAAATAAAATTAATCAAATAATTTTAGCCAAACGAACAAGGACTTGTAATTCTGCCGAATTTTAAGGTCAATTTAACGCCGACGTTAAAACGTCACGCATGATTCACGCATGTTTCGTTACGACGTGGTGGGTTACGCGTTATCTGCGATCTAAAAGTAGAATTCCAGCCAGGGGGCTTGAAAGTCTGTGCTTGTGTGGAAATCATTAGAGTGCCAGAAGAGCTCGCAATAATGCAGCAGCGAAGCCGCGACAGTTTAATTCAATTTACGCCGCTCGCGCGCACGACCTTACAGTATCACATGAATTGCATCTAACCCTCCCTATGACAATGTTCGCGATTCTGAGCGATTCTCGTTTAATATTTATTTTATGCGTTCGCTGATTTTAACGCATTGTTAAATTACATCGACGATGGCTATCGCGCAATGGATTGTAATTAAATGGAATAAAATCTACCATTCCCTTTTTATGCCGCTCGTGAATATTATCGGATTACATAGCTGCCTCATACCCTTATCGTGTATCGTTTTATAAATATTTATCGCCAGGTCGATCTTTATTTTTGTCGAGCGGTATACATCATCGCTGAAAACCGATTGTTTGCCGAAAATACGCAATTTGCAATTAATCCAGTTGATGAGTAGTCCGATAAGTAGCACGAATTTTCGTATTTTCACCTCATTAATCACGATTTTGTTCGATTTGTATTCGGAACTATTTTGCTGTATACATATATTACCCCTCTCAACTGTGAACCAGGTTTCCACGAATTACATCTTGTTAATTATATACAAACACATTATCGACGTGTAATTTCGGAAGAGAAGTATATCGTTGGTAATCGACATAAAAACGCAGTTATACACAAAGAGAATACTTTTCGAAATTGATTTGTATTTCATGGAAAAAATATAAAAGCGAAATAAAAACATCTAAAACTTCCTTATTTAAAGAATTTTTCTAAACTTGTCTCAGGTAATTTGTCTACTGTCGCTGTATTTTGCATTAATGTTTTAATTCTTCTAATATTTTAGTTATATGTTAGTTTAATCTTTAAACTATGAAATACAATTAATTAGTATATTTGTAGATATATAAAATAATTAATTTAAATTATCTATTTTAATTTCTTTTTTTATATATTTTATAATATATATAAAAATTCTTAGAAGAAAATCACTTCGATCTAAGGAAGATATTAATATAGATAAGTATTTTAGGTACATTACTATATTCTATAAGTTTAATTTTGCATGAAATATTATGAGCTTGAAATAAATGTTTACGTGGTTTTGATAAAGAAGGTACTATTTTCATTACTTAAAAGTTTCCTTAGACGCGTTGATGATATTTTCTTAATAATATATAAGGCGCTATATAAACTTGTAAGCTTATTTTACGAAGAAATAATGTTGTTTCGCACTGTTTCTCTCTCTCTCTCTCTCTTTGCTAGTATATTAAATTCCGTTAATCTCTTGAGTTTCTTAAGGATTCCACGCACGACTTTCTCAGGGCGAACACATTATAATATTTAATGTCCTCGAGCTCAGGAACCGAATTAATTCAAACCGGATACCGGTCAGCTACCGGAAATTCCACGAACGATAAAACGTGCCTCCAATGTTGGCAAACGATGGCGGCGTCGGATCGCTGCAATCGTTACAGAAGCGCGCCTTCTGCTATTTATCGCTGATCGGCGAGATTTCTAAAACGTGGTTGAGTTCGAAATAGCGAATTTTGCCGAGGGGAATTTTAATCTTAAACTTAACACTATCTCGTAAGATAGCCCTGATTCTCACAGCCCAGACTCATACTTTTTTATTTGCAGAATTAAATGCTGTTAAATCTTTGGTAGAAATTTCACGCATTTTTTTAGCAGTTACTCAAAGAAATTATATTAACCCTGTTTAATAAATGAGAAGTGAAACTACTTAGGACTCTAATCAAGATGTAATGCTCTGCCTGCGGTTACTGCGTATAAAAGATGCGCGAAATCTGAATACTTTTTACTGAACAAAAACAGGACAATAAATGGACTACGCAGTACTTTAATTAATGAATCTACTTAATAGTAAAAAATAACTGGGCAGGTATCTACGCAAAGTTTTATTAGGAAAAGTTTCAGCCACTGAATAAAATTCTATCAAGTTTATGTCCATTTTCTACACAGTATTGTTACAATTAATGAGAATACAGTAATACTAGACAATATACATATATAATAGGATAGGATCTAAAAAAATTGTATACATTTCTACGACAGATTTTTCCCAGAAATTTTTTAGACATTTTTTTTTCAAAATTTGCAGAAATCATTTCACCGACCTTTGTCATTCAATTATTGTGATTTTGTTGACTCACTGACAAAACAGTAGTTGGTGTCCGTAAATTAAAATGACGCATAATGCGCATAGAGTTCAAGCGGAAATGCAGCCGCGGCGGTATCATTTAGCGGTACACGCACGTAAATTTCGTGCAGGTTGAAAAATTAATGAGGAGAACGTTCTTCGCTTCACGTCACGCATCTGCGAGTTTGAGACTTTATTATGGGAGAGACTTTATTAAATTGGATTTGCGGGAACAGTTCCTGCATGAATGTTTCTAGTGGATAATTTTTGGTACTTGTATGCAAGCAATCGTGGAGCAACAGTTTCTAAAATTTTACGTAGTTAATTCCATTATCAAAACTGATAAAGTTAGTTGACAAATTACGTTAGTTTTCTCCATTCTCAGTGTATCTAAAATAACCGTGCACATCTAAATAATGATATGTGTTTTTATACACTGAGGAAAATAATTATTAAATTTTTAATAAACATTTCTTCGAACAGTTCTAGCAGAATGTTTACGGTAAATAAATATTTAAATGAAAAAAAATGTAAAAAAATGACAAATAGAAAAATAGTTAAATCAATCTAATGGTTCTTGTATCTAATAAATATATGTTTACATTTAATAAATATTTTGCTAGGACTATTCAAAGAAATATTTATTAAAATTTAATTAGTAAATTTTGTTTCTTAGTGCGTCTAAACGATAGTTGTCTATTTAGAAAAAATGTAGATTTTTGTGTTAAATCATTATTCCGGAACAAATCAATATTATATACGATGCTAAGAAAAATTATTTGACATTTGAGTAAAAATCGTCTGCGAAATATTTTTAAACTTCTTTTCACAATTTCAAAATTCTAAACCGGAAAAATGTTTATTCTGATTTATATAATCAGAATTCGTTTTTTTTTTGTACTTTTTTACTTTTCGTTACTTTTTATACTTGTTGGAACAAGAATATTTTTAGAATATTTTTCTCAGTGTATCAAATATAATTTTATAAAGATAACTTTATATATATATAAAACAGCTATTAATTATTTTCTCTTTTTCTTCTTTCTTCTCTTTTCATCTCAAACATTTTTACCAGAATCTATATATTTAAATATTTCCATTTCAGGATCTCTTCGAGTCATCAGTATTCGTTCCTATTCTCTTTGAGAAGATACTATTAAAATGCCGTTTTGCGATAGAAGATGAACGATGAGATAATTTCAAAATCCAATGTCGGCAGCAACATTCCTTTGGCCGATGAGGATGCGATCAATGTGGACGGCGGCGCCTTTCGTCTGGTTACTTCATGGATCACGTCGAAAGGGTTGACGAACGCCGAGGAGGACACGTGTTCGCGGAACGTGCAGAACTTCACGACCTTCCGGACTTCCGGTTTATCGGCAATTGCTAGGCGGGACTTGCCGATGTCCGACGACGGCAAGATGCTCAATCATCGGCGGGAGTCGTCTCAGCAACGTTACGCGCGTCAATCGTCCGCTTCGAAGACGGACCAAAGCGAAGAGATCGAAGGCGCTTCGTCGCACTTCGAAAACGCGGTGATAAAATATCAGAAGTCGAAGCTACGTCCCAAGCGACAGATCAGCCGAGAACGTCAGCAGCAGCAGCAGCAACAGAGCAATTACTCGAGCAGCGACGAGAGTGTCGCGAGAAACAAGTCGAAGAGCATCAGTTCGATTGACACTCAATCGGTGAACAATATTCTGGATGAATACGAGGATCTAGATTATCGTAGATCGTCGGACCTCAGTGATGTTGGTAATATCAGTGTGACAAATTTCGAGGCAATAATGATGAATCAGCAGAAACGGCAGCAGGTAAAGTCGAAGCAGATAAAATCCAGTGGAAAGATTCAAACTAAATCTATTCCGACAAGGGAAAAAATTCAAGCGGTACTAAAGGTGAACCAGCAGACTCAAGTGAGACAGCGTTCGCGGGATAGACAGAAGGACTTTAATAAAGGACATCAACAAGATATCTGTTATGTTTCGCCGCCAGTTACAATGGACACAATCGAAAGTAGTCGTTCGAAGATGCCTGAGATTTTACTACGCAAAGGAGAAGTCCAGAAAAGGGTAGACGAATGGTTGAATCAAGCGCACAGCCAAAACTTCCCGGCAGCTCCTCGTGAAAAACCTTTGACGAGGTCCAACAGCAGCGCCGAGAAGAATCACCGAAGATGTCGTGGTCAAGATTCGCGATCTCGGACATCGACCGACGAAGCGAAGGACAGATTGAATGGAGGAACCTCGTCGAGTTATGACGACCTGACTCGCGTGAATCGCCGGTTGGAGCGCGTCAGGCCAGAGAAGGTGAACGTCGGTGTGAACACCAGTAAAGGCACGTACAAAGAGTACTTGGCGGTGAGGAGTAAGCAGGATTATGGCTTCAGTACTCAGTCGAATATCGCATCATCGAAATCTGGTGATTCCAATCCAGCCTCCAGGATCCCTCAGAGAGGACTCCTTGGTTCGAGTTTCAAGTCCAGGCGTGTCGAAGCGAATCTTGAAGAGAAACCTACAGCATCGAGTAGGATTATAAATTTGACGAAGGCGATAAGTGAGTCTGATCACAGTAGAACAACTATTAACTGCAATTCGAAGATAATCGAGATGTCTATCGGTACGATGTCGATGGCCACAGCAACGACAACGACGTCATCAATTATTTCCTACAGAAGGCCGTCCTTGAAGCGTTCTGGAAACGGAGTGGATGGAAACTGTGCAGCGGCGGCTGCTGCGCACTCGCTTGCTAAAGAGGAGATGGACCCGCCGTGCGAGCGGGGCCCCACGAAGGGCCTACCATTGCTTGGAGGCAGCTTTAGTGACCAAGGCGAACCGATCTCACCAAATAAGGACGGAGAAAGTAGGCGGCCAGCTGCTACGGCAAGCAGGCTGACGCCGCAACCCGGCGCTGCCGATAAAACGGTCGAGGCGACTTGTAAATCGACGGAAGTGTCGGCGAGATGCGCTGCAAACTATTCACGAGGTAGCTCGAGGATCGCTTCGTCAGCGGAATCTGACCGCGTCGCGATCGAATCGCCGCGACGCCGACTTCAGTTTTGCAGCGATGCCCGAAGAGAGCCTAGATCAATCGATCAATCGCGACACGAGCAACCGATTTATGGCTCAGCTGTTAGTGCTCGTGTTAGAGCTCTTCAAGGTCAAGTGGAGTCACGTACTCCGCGAAACAGGTGTCAACAGGTCGCAGGAGCATCGATGGAGGGTAAAAGACCATTGATCCTACCGCGCAAAGATCTTGGTGTATCTTCGCAAGATGGTGTAGGATCGCAAGATCGAGCGAATATGTCAATTAGCACACCTTCGTCCAGTTTCAAGCCGAACAATCGAGTTTACACCACGATCAATGATTCGCAGTCACAACCGAATGAGCAGAATGCTGGAAGATCCAAGATTGCTGTCTGCGAAAACGTCCCGTCCGTCAGAATCACGCGTTATGCTTCTCCCGATCACGTGGAGAGGATTTACGAACGTAGCCTGCAACCGCAAGTAATCCACGCAGATGATCTTGAATCAATTCTTCGACCTTCTCTGCAAACATCACCTTACGGTGAAAAGGTCGGCGTTTCTAAAGATCGAGAATCAACTGTCAAAGAAGTGCCATTGACGCTCGAGGACGAGACTGGCGAGTTGCGACACGAGCATCTCGAAACAATTGAGGAGGACGATCGAAAGAGCGAGAATTTGGTCTGTAGGTATCCGGAGGTCGGATTGAAGCAGTGTCTGAAGATGCAGAAGAGTTTACCAAACGGCAAATCGAAAGAATCGGATAAGAGAAAGGAAAATTCAATTTATGTTAAGTGGAATCCACAGCAGCAGATTGTTTTTAATGAACCCGCGAGAACTTTTGCCACTTTCCAATCGGGATCATCTTGTCAGGATGACGTTAAATCAAGTATCAGGTCTCGATCTCCAGAGATGAAAGAATCCAGAGGTCACGAAGAGATTACACAAGATCCAGACGAGTCGACAATCCTCCAAGATCTCGCGGGCGTTTACGAGGACGCTTCGCGAGAAGATCAGAACCAACTGACGATTCATTCGCGAGAGAATAGCAATTTGTCAACCGCTACGATTCCTGTCGATGAATTAGAGAGCCAGAAAGACTCGAGGTCGAAGGAGGCTGAGGAAGAACTTTCTCGAAATAAACTTCAGTTCGATGAAAAGTTGCAAGAACGCGTAGTTGAAGAAATGACAAAGAATGCTGACGAACGTGGTGCAGTGGTCAATGAAGTTCTCGTTAAGAACCTGCAATTTGAGCAAGATCTGCCGGAAAATCCTGTCGAGCAAACGAAACCGGATCATGTTGTACAGCAGGTGAATTTTCACAATATCTTGTGCGACGATTATGAAAACGAGAAGTTGAAGAATAAGAAGATGTATATGACAAAGGAGGAAATGGAACATCAGAGGCTAATAGATATGTTGAAGAGAGGAAACTTCGAGACGCTGAAGACGGTGAGTGACACTGTAATTTTTTTAAATTAGGCTAGTAAATTGCGACAGTTCGATAGATCTCGCTATGAAAAAAATATGAATCTGATATAAATTATGTGAGAACAATCTTTTTAATGAATCGTCAACGAAATAAATAAATGCTAATTTATCAATTGACGATTCATTCAATCAAGTTATTTATTTAACTGTACGTTATCTATTATCATCTTGATGTTAATATATATCAATATTAATAACAGAGACAATATGCTATGAGTTAATTAATTTCCAGCATTTAAGGAAATTGTTAACAATTATGATCTATTTATATATTGTTCTTCCTTTTCTTCTTAAATTCTGAAAAAGAGATTTTCTTTAAATAGAAATATCTTTATCAAAAATTTGAAAAATCATAACACACACATACACTATATTAAAACTTGGAAAAAAATATAAAGTAAAAATATAAACAAACATAAAGTAACTTTTAAAAATATTTTTTGTCAATATGTGTATATTATTAAAATAGTAATATTTATTTAATATAATTGATAAAATATTTGATAAGTTTATTACTTTATTAACTGTCATCTCTTAAGTCATCGTGTAATCGACTTAATAAATTAACTGTGTGATATGACTGATACTTATCCATTTTAAAGATTCACATTGGTCGAAAAAAAGCGAGATTGTCCGCGGTCGAAATTCAATCTCGGTGAATTGACACACGATGCATTGATATCGTATTGATTGTTTTCGCCGCCACAAACTCTATCTCGTTTTAATCGCGATAAAACTCGCCGACAAGATATGCCTGACAGTAACCCAATAATTACATACGTGCTGCTACACGATAGCCTGTGCGACGAATCCGCGGCTCTGTCGGTAATTACATGTCCTGTGTATAATCGCGGTTATTCGTTTCGTTCGGCTCTTTATTTCAACCTGGTAACAAATATATACTAAATTGCCATTAACAACGACTAAAATGTTTACGTATCACCGCGTTATCAATGAATGGACAATTATTTAACAACGCGAATTCTAACTTCCTGAATCGCGGCAACGTGAACGAAATTAATCGAGCTAATTATAATATATTATAATAGAATAAATATGAAATTATAATATTGCGCAGAATCAAAACCAATACCATTACAAAATTATTGAAAAACGATAATTGGCTGTTTATAAGCTATTGTTTATAGTCGTTTATAATCACGGCGCTATATTTCTAAAAATTATGAATTAGAATTATCTCTAATAATATTGTATTTAAGATTGATTGATCCTAAATAATCATGAGCGTATAAATATAAAATATTAAACTAAATACTACATACTCTGTACACATCTTAAAAATAAATATTATGATAACAATACTTAATTCCAGTCTACAATTTTATCACATTAGCGCGCTTTAGTTTATCTCAGCTTGTTTAATTATTCTTCTTACATTTATAGAATAGATTTTTTTTTTTATCAAGATATACAATAGAGTTATTAAGATCATTATTTGTTTATAGAAACTATTTATGTAAGCTATTTACAGAGATCAAAAGTAATTTTGCATCGCATTATATATCAAGCCATACATCTTATTATGAGTTATAAAAAACCGGATTGTTGTTAAAGCTGAATTATTTTGTACGTGTAAAAACATCGTCGGAATAAACTGTAATCACATGCTTCTTAGTAATGTATGTAGTTGTCACAAAAGAGGGTTGTGACGTAATGTAATTATTAAGTTTCTGCGTTGTGGTCGCCGTAAACGTGATGTAATGGGGTTTGCGCACGTGTCTCAGTATATCAAATTCTCCCAGAGGGAGTGATATTTCATTCCCGGCTGAATATAGGGTGCAGAAGGATAATTCGCAGGTCCCGAAATAGGGATGCGTGAAAAGCACAAATATTTCATCATCGATAGACATTTTCGTATTGATGACGCGTGACTTCATCACAATGTCTGTTCGCTCAGTCGCTCAATTAAAAAAATTTTATATTCCATTTTTCTTCGATTGAGTTAGAATTTGCATTACGTAACTCTCATGACAGTCTCAATCTCAATTCAATAAATGTAGGTTACATGATGAATAAATGTTTGATGAAAATTATTCGTGATTCTATAAAATAACTACTTATAATTATAATAATACTATCTGGATAATCCCAAAAATACACATAACTCATAGATTATATTGCTTGAAAAAATAAAGATTCCGAATGTAAAAAGTGAACGTAACACGAACAATCCTACAATAATATTTTAGACTTAGACACTTCTTAATTATAATAACACATATATCTTATTTATTTCATGTAGTATGTAATTTTAAGGCTTGAATTTCAAGGTTTAGAACAACTTTTTTATTGAAAATATTATTTGAATAAAATTACTTCTTACCTATAAATCTCTGACAATCTCTTTTTCGAGATCACTATTTACTTCTATTATCACAACTGTTTTTCATCAAGATGTGGTTCGCTCGTACACGTCTGATTGAAGAAGAATTAGAAAAATCACATTTTATGATGCTTCTCTATCCACGACGTATATAATTGTCTATTAGAATTCTCACTGTGAATTTCATTAATTATGTATTCGATACTGTAACGTTTGCTGTTGCTTATCGAATAATCGTCCTCAATGAAATATATATATACCTATATATATGTATTTCAGAACGAAATTGCGAAATGTTAGAAAAGGCTCACTTGCAAAGAAAGGCCCAGTATTTTCAGAGATAAATCTTAGCTATTAGAAATTGTATATTATTTGTATATGTAACAATTGCGTCACATATAAAACACGTTTTAAAAACAAAAAATTTATTGTATTTTGCCAAATTACTAACGATAGATGTTGCATTCAGATATAAATAAATTGTACTTTTTTCTTTATCACAGTGATATTCAATGACATAATTCAATGATATTGTACTGTACCTCATTAAAATATTAATTGTAATCGTATTATAAATTTTAGAATTGTATAATCCTTTACATAATCCTCAAAAAACTTTTTTATAGCGATACTTATGCTTAAAATATTTTTCATGTCCAATTAATACAGAATTTCACTGATTATGAGATATTTAAAATGTAATGAAAAATAGGTTTATGTCACCAAAAATCCACGAAAAAAAATTTTTTCAGATCTCACACAGAAGTATATCCTGTTAATATAGAGCCCTTAATACAAACATTGTTCTTGTTTGGGAAGTACTGCATGAAATGTTGCGAACATATAACGATGCAGCTTGCACTCGTATCTCAAATGGAGCGGCTCGTAAACATACGAAGGGTAAAAGCGAGTGGTAAAAGCTTGCGTAAGGCACATGAAGTGAAGATTCAAATAACTAGCGCGAGCGAGTAGAGATAGCAGAACTCGTACATCCAACGAGAACAAGCTTGAACATTGCTGCACTTGAAGGTGCACGAAGGAGTCTTCCGACTAGTATAAGAAATAAGAGTGACCGTGGATCGAGGATCAGAGGACGAAAGTCCGAGAGAGCAAAGGAGAAAGCCATACGATTTATGATTCAACCCAGCTGGGAACCAAGCATAAGGTATGCGGTTCATAGTACGCTTTAACGCGCAAGAAAGATGCAATAAATTGTTCAACGTGTGCAAGTACGCCTCGGGTAGTCGGGGGTAAATGCGAGACTCGCCCTTAACGAGATTCGGTCGTCCGATGCTCTTCCTTTCTCTACAAAGTTGACCTTCAAGAACGTAATAAACTCATTTTCTTCTGTCTGCGGTCAGCATGAACATGCAAATTGTGGTCTAACGCTTTTCAGACATCGTTGATAAAAAATCAATTTCTTTGCTACGAGCAAAAAATGCGAGCAAAATTGCAATTTCGTACTTATTGTATATTAAAAATAATAAGTATAATTTTGCGTTTATCAGACATTGTCTATCTGTGAATAAATAAGAGTCTGTGAAAATTTAAATCTTCCTATTTTGTACTTTACTTCTTTCTCAATTAATGTACCCTTAATAGACACGATTAGATCATTATCCTGCAAATTTCTTCTTTGAAAAATGAAAAGCCAGCATCAAGTATTAACATTATAATAAGTTATAATACTTATTGTATACAGGGGCGGCGATTTGTCGATTCGTTATGTGTGGAGTTGGACAACTTAATCGTGGGGGGGAGGGGGGGGAGGGGAGGGCAAAAAATTTCCAGAATTTATTTAATCTCCATATTAAAATCTCTTTATAATCGTACAAAATAATGACCAACGAAATTATAAATATTTTATAAATGTTTATAGTTTAACTTGAAACATACTTAAACTCGCAAAACAAAACTTAATGAAAAAATGTAATAAATTTAATCTCGTAGAGCAAACGTTGAATTCCGAATTTTATTTTTTTTTAATAAACTCATCCATAAGTGCATCAATATCTCTCTATAAAGTTTATCAATCTCGGAGTGCACATGCAATATAACTACTGAATATTATCGAATATACGAATATGAATTCGTATATTCCGAAACAAATAAAGACTATTCGCTAATAAGATGTGCACGAAAAACTATAGACTAGCGCTCTTCGCGGAAAAGAATACGAACTACAAAAGAGAACTGCGTGAATATTTTATCGGCCGCGCTTGTGGTTCCGCTCAGTGTGTGTAATTGAAATTTTGATTGAAATTTAAAAGTTCCAAAAAAATTTAACTATTTTTAGTTTAACACTTGTTATTTTCAAATTTGTTGTTTATGAAGAATTTTTCATATGTGGAATTCCACACATAAAAAATTCTGATGTGTGGAATACTCCACACACACTTCACAAAAGTCGCCACCTATGAGTATACAATTTTTTAAATACACTTATAAATACGGATATGTAAAAATATGTTAAAATATATGTAAAAATCACTTAATTTTTGTATAGCTGTAAAAATAATGAAAATTATATAAAACACAAACGATTCATCGTGTGAAACAAAGGATTGGAGAATCGTTGTGTATACTAAAAGTTAATTTTACCTTAATTTAAATATTC